TCTCATGGTAGCTTCACTTTGTCTGTTCCTGATTGGCTGTGAAACCATCCTGGAGAGAAATATCAGCTGTGCTGCTGCCATCAACACCTTTGTTTATTGATGTTGGAGATCAGCCTGTTTTTCAGTGCAGTCCTGTTTCTCTGACGGACAGGCTGGATGTGCTCTCTGCATCCTCTTACATGGAAGCTGGCTCGGAGCTCATCTGCCTGGCTGTGTGTTTTCTAGATGGGGCTTTTACAGTTGCCTTTTGTATCTCTGCTTCTGTCTCCTTGAACCCCAGTCGGCCTCGGTAGATGGCCGCTCACCCTGAGCCTGGTTCTGCTGGAGGTTTCTTCCGGTTAAAAGGGAGTTTTTCCTCTCCACTGTCGCAAGAAGCATGCTTGGTGTGAGGGATTGCCTTCACACCATTTCACTTTTCTTTCCCAGCTCATTGGCTAATTTGTATCACGTGCAGCCTGGTGCCGGACGCTTTGGAGGGCTTTACCCTGCAAACAGGAGGCACAAGTAAAATTAGACACTAGCGTCGGACAACGTCTGGTAATTTCTAAATGACACGGTTGATCCAGATTAGCAAGCAGGTGGGTCCGGATCCGGACCGCAGTGCGCTAATCTGTATTGTCCATTGTCTATTCAAGGATAAAACATCTATATTATTATTATGCCTAGTTTGGGCCTCTGTAAACATTTACTTAGCTAAAAGCATAATCAGTAACTACTGCAGATGAAAAACACAAATGCACTGCAAATACATTAATGTGCAACAAAAACAAAATATATTGTAATAACAAGTTATCTTTAGGTTCGTTTAGGGGCTGATAATTACTCTAGTTTTGTGTTAGTGACATTACCTAATAACTGTTTTAATAAAAACTCATTTTGAGGAGAAACTTAATCATGATGAGAGAAAATGCAATAAAATTGGACAAAATCTAGTACCTCATACAACAGCACCGTACCAAAACGATCATCATTGGGATTGCAATGGTCGCCATGTTTGCGGTGCTGTAAATGTCAGTTTGCTGCTGTCAATCAACCATGAGCCCTGCAGGTTCCGCTTTCCTCCAGGCATAGCTTCTGATGAGGGAGTTTAATATGTTATATATATATGGGATGGAAGAACAACTATGCAGTGAAATAGGTTGTACCTTTAGTGTTTAAAGAAAAGATTCAATGGTAAATTTCATTTTCTGTCATCCTCCTTTTTTCAGTGGATCTGTTTATGGACTGGTGTCGAGGGACTCCCCCCTATGATCTGGAGCACTTCTGTTATGTGGTGCTTCTCTGTGTTTGGTGTATTTGTGCTTTAGTAACATTTGTGTGCTTCCAGCATGTTGTCACTTTGCCCTGTGTGGTTAGGATTTTTTTTCTTTTTTTTTTACTTTTTTATTGTCATTACACTGTCACAACGAAATTAACTCTCTGTATTTAACAAATCCCCTTGTGGAGCAGTGGGTTGCCATTGTGTGGCACCAGAATGTGTGGGACTAAAACCCACAACCTTCGAGACCCAAACGCAATGCTCTAACCATTAGGCCACCAATGAATTGACCTAATTTTAAGACTTATTTCAGTGTTATAATCAAGAAAGACTTATGGTTCTTTACCAAATTAGACTTTCTAAGAATAAGGCATTATAGATTTTCGATTTATCAGAGACAAAATTTCACTAAACAAGACCAAATATTTATTGATAAACATTTTAGAATGCAGAATATAACTGAGGAAGAAGAAAAAGAACCCTAATTTCTTGTCTGCCTCAGCAGAGCTGATGTTGGGAAGCTTGAGGGGAGAACTAATTCAGAGAAAAAAGTAATATTATAGAAGTTATCGAGCATACATATGCTGTACAATTTCTAATGCCAGACAAGCTGGAAATATTACTCTCGAAAAAGGCAGTAGTGACTTAGACGATTTTATTGTTAAATCCCAAGGGTTTCCCCAGAAAAATAAATTTAGGCAGTTCATGTTTTGACCCTCTGCATTGTATATCACCCCCTCCAATCATCTAAAAACACTCTAATCACCAATTAGGATGTGTTGGTTCTAAGCAGGTCGACAGCACAAGCAGAACTCCCCACAGAGTCATGCTGGCTTTAGCACAACTCAGGCTGCGACTTCACTGCGCGACAGCGAAGAACCTTCAAGAAGCTGTCGATCTTGTGTGAGTCGCGTCGAAGGCAGGACAAGAGGAAATTGAACTTGTTTAGTATGGTCACCCGGTCCTGACCTAGGTCAGTCCCTCCGGTGTAAGGCAGAGGAGAGATGGCCTGAGCATCGGAACCCATCTAAAAATTTAAGGAGACCATTAGTGTACAAAATAAAAGCACCAAAAAAAAAAAAAACAACAGGTGAGGAACTCCTCTCTGCTTTGCCCACCTTGCCTGACAGTATATCCAAGCCATCCGCCAAGGTCCTTGAGTGCTCCATCAGCTCGTTGATTTTACTCGATATGCTGCTTTTTGCTGGGTGAGGCAGAGTGACGGCATTGTTAGAAAGGATCACCAGTGGATCAGCCCAGGCATGGAGCAGGGAGCGGGCCAGAGACATTAGAGCTGATTGCTAGAGAAGAAAACAAAATATTGAACAAGAAAAAAATTAAAAGGCTGTTTAAAGGACAGTCTAAATTAGTGAGGTTAGAAAAAGGGGACTAACTCACTGATGCTTGCAAAGTTTGCACTTTGTCATTGGGGGTTTGTAGTGCAGATGTGTGGCAATCAGCAGGGAAGAGAGAACCCTAGTGGCAGAAAAGGATTAATGGGACCATGACCAGGGGAAAATATCTTTCCAAACTAGCACACTCTATTTTCTCTCAGGCAAAACGACATCTGGTGATCTCACTGATTTAAGCAAGTAGCATAAAGATCTCACCATCTCCTGTGTGAGCAGCGTGCTCAGTGAGTGCATTTTGTCTGAGCGCTGTGAGGCTCGGTCCAGCAGGTCATTGATTGTAACAGCTCTGCACATAACTACTAGATACAGCACTGAGCAGGAGGCATGAAGAAGCAAGAGAGGAAACAGCTTTTCAGACACAGAGCTCTGAGTATGGTTTGATTTTTGGTACTTGTCAATACTTATCATTAAGTATGGGTCAAATACAAGTTTCAAAGTACACAACCATAAAAAAGAAACACATTTCAAGTCACAAAACTTAGTTGTCATATTATTCCTACAGTTTGTAGCCCTTTTAATAGAGGAGAGCTGAACTCCCCTGCCCACCTGTACATTTTTAGTGTACTAGCTGTATGAATGTTTTACACTAGAGAAAAAAGATTTTGAAATGATACAACATTTTCTGATTCAGAAAAGCACATAGAGTAATAGTGTGGAAATAGTGTGGAAATAAAACTAAAGGCTGGTATCCCAGCCTTTAGTTTTGAAGATTAATTATGTTTTAAAATCATAGCTAGAAGGCCACCTACTGTACAGCAAACTGCAGGCTGCAATCCCACTTTATTGACCAGCTAACCTGGGTTCGGTATACTTTATACACTTTGTGTAGTGTAATATAATGTGCAATAAAAGTGTCTGTATCAGAATAAAAAAAACACATCTAGTCGCTAGCACTATTTCACAAGCAAAAATCCTTTGAGGTTTTACAAATTACAACAAAACTGTGATATTTTCACCAATTATTATTTAGATATGCACATATATTGATTCATTATTGTTTAAATCTATATTTTGTTAATTGTCAATGACAGAAGATGTTGGTAACCATCTCACCTGTGATGAGTTTGCCTCCAATGATTCTTTTCTGAGCCATTTTGTTCCTCCTGTCTGAGCGTGTTGCCTTTTTCTTTTCTTGCTCCATTTTGCTTCCATTTTATAGGTCCTAATTTCTGATACTTTGGCTATGCAACAGAAGGATGATTCTGGGTTAATTGTCTACAACTTGCTTAGACCAGTTTATAATGAGAAACATGGTGGAGGATATTTGAATGGATGCAGTAGGGTGCGTAAAGGTGCAGGTAGAAATGTGCGTGTGAGAGGGGGCCGGGGGGGTTGTTTGTGGGTGTGTGTGTGTGTGTGTGTGTGTGTGTGTGTGTGTGTGTGTGTGTGTGTGTGTGTGTGCGTATATGGCAGTGGAAAAAGGTCCTTCTTCATCTTGATTGAATTGATTAATAAAAACAACACTTTTCACTCTGCGTTTTAGAGGGTTTTACAAATTTGATGCGAACGTCATTGATGACCACCTGGTCTCTCCATGAACCGTGCGTCACTTAAACTTAGTTTGTCAGATTTACCAATCGAAAGATATACATTTAAAAAATAGAAGAAGAAGAAATAGACGCATGTAGAAATGGCTACAGTTCATTGAAATCATGACCATTGCTACTCCTGAGGGTTTTGTCATTTCCTCCATTTTTGTGTTATTTACAAATAACAGCTATCACTTCGGATGCCACGTTATCAAATTTGCTGTTGACTCAATCATTGTGTTGCTCCTCAGCAGTAAGATCTGAGTGGCTTCTCAAATTGGCACTAAGCTTCCTTTTTGAAAAAATATTCTCTGAATTTAAAAAAAATGCTTACAGGGATCTCTTCAATTTTGCTCACAGTCAAACCTTTTTATAAAATACCAGTTTTTGTTTTTTGTTAAGAGTTTTGAGCCACTGGTGTTGTAGTGGAAAATTTGAAATGATTTATATTTATAAGAATGTTTTATCATTATCTTTAACGTGTCTGTTTTTAAGTTTACTTTTATCTGCTGGCATGGGTCACTTGTAGATGTATGGCGTAAGACTACTGGCAAACATTACTGGGTGTGGGTCAAATGTATCCTGTGCCTTGTTAGACAGGACAACATGCACCCTTAAATTTGATCCCTGCATTAGAGCAGAGGTGAAAACCATGCAACTGGCTAAAGTTTAGTAAATTTTTATAGTGAGAACTATGAGGAAGTAATTATTGCTAAAATGGACTTTATACAGGGTTCAGTCCTTCCATCTTTTAAGTGGAGGAAGAGCAAGAGCATAAATTACTATCTTTTAGCCAAACTGCACTAGTAGAAAGTACATTTTAGGAGTAATTTCAAATTCCTCTCATTTGTTTTTGAATTATTACATGGTCTTCCCAGCTCAAACCCACTTTGCTGTTTCATCATTTTACATCCTTCCACTCTCAGGTCAGCAGACCATCCCGAAAACTAAAGCTAAATTTGATAGGTTCTTTGCTCTTAAAATGTGGAATGAGCTGCCTTTTTTGGGGAACAGACAGCTTTTAAATCTCTTCTATCTACTCATCTATTCTCGTTGGCTTCTGACAACATCTGAGATCTAGTTTTTTTTTAAAATTAACATAATTTTAATTGCTCTTTTATTTGGCCTTAAAAGGGCAAATACAATTAATTTCATTTTTATAGTACAACTGACAACAAATATCATCTAAAGGCACTGTACAGAGGCATTTAAATCACATTATCCAGACAGATTTCTAAGAAGTTTTCTATATAAAGAAAACCAGCTGATTGCGTCCAGTCATTAACTTTGCATGAATAAATAAGCATGTTGCAACAGTAGACATTTGCTGGCATTGTAACATCTACTCTACAGCAATCCCTCATACTTAGCATGCATGCAGTGATGGTGGAAAAGGAACTCTCTATTAACAGGAAGAAATCTCCAGCACAACAAGTGGGGGTTTGGGCAATGACGGGGCTGCTGGCCAAGGTCCATGCTGTGAACAAGCCGGAACATGATCTCAGCCGTAAGCTGGATGCAATGGAACGCAAGCTGGCTGCAGTTGCTGAAATCAGAGATGAGATGAGATAAAATTTTGGAATGTGCATGCACGCTTCAAGGTGGAAAAAGCCCAACAAATTCCAAGTATTGGATTAGCCATGTGGAGCCCAGGAACAAAGACTTCAAGGCTGAAAAAAATGGTGTGCAGCTTGATCTCAAAGCAAAAGTGTATTTTGCATTTTGGCCTCCCTCTTATTAAAACTCCCCTCGATATTATGTCGAAGGGCCCAGTTTTTAAGTCACTGACCCGGCCTCTACTCCTGCAGATTTTCCAGTGAACCCGCCGCAGCAGAGAAGCAGCTGCACACTACATCAAAAAACACCTTTTTGAATATACGCCTATCTGAATTCTGGGTCCTATGTTCTGAGCCTTTTGAGACCAAGATCATGACAGGTTTAAATGGGTAATAGCTAATGCACATGTTTTTATAATAAGCAAAATACGGAAAACTATAATGCATGTAAACTTGCCTCATAAGAAAGAGAAACGTATTTTTGCAGATCTCGTTACCTCAAATGCAGTGATTATTACAGGCACTTATTTTTCTTTGCTGGAGTCTTTCTTTTGGAGGTAACAGTTTTGGACTTTTGCACTGTGCATCTATTTGCCTCTAAATGTTCAATGGTGCGCATATCCTGCTAATCTCTTCCTGTAGATAAAAAATCGAACCCTATGTTGTACAGTACATAATGTATGGGGAAAGCTTCACATTATTAGTGAATATTGATACACCGGTCATTTTTGTTGCCTAATATCATCAACCTTGCCGCCTGTTTTGCTTGGACAGCCCCCGCTATCCAAGCAAAAACTGCTGTAATAATGAGATGCTAACTCATTATAATGAGATAGTAACTCAATATAATTAGATACTTTTTCATTATAATGAGATAGTAACTCAATTTATCAGCCAGGAATATGTTTACGTACCCTGCATTAATGAATACAGTTTCATTTTGTTTGTTCTGCAAACATGAACTGGATCAGAAATTCTTTATAAAGGAGAAGATATTTGTCGTTATTTAGCTGTTCTACTGTAGTGTCTGTAGATAAGATCTTAAATGAACCTAAAAATCAGAGAAGTGTTGCTGTGTTCCAGTTACTAACTTGCTAAACATCCCAGTTACATTAGTTAACCCGTTGTTTTACAATGAATGAATCAACAGTTTGAAGATCCTTAAATTCTTGGGTTGTGGGCATCTGTTTGGAAAATAATCTTGCATTTGATCTGGATGAGTCAATATAAGTAATTTGATTGGTAAAGGGAAGAGCAATGTTCATCAGTACTTGCATACAAGGGTGTAACTTCAATCAGTGAAGGGAAGTTTACACATTGGCTGTGGCTATGTCCCAGATTGCTGTTGTCACCACAGATAACTCAACCGTCCTCCAGGATATAGACCTGAAGATCAGAGGTGCTTAAGCACACTTTTTAGGTATCTATACTTTACTCCATTACTTATTTTTCTTCCTACTTCTGACTTCTACTCATTACATTTTCACACAAGTACTTTCTATTCCTTACATTTTTAAAACAACCTTTACTCGTTAATCTTGGCTTCGGTTTAATGCAGAGATCAGGGATTAGCGGACCGCGGACAGATGTTATGCAGAAAAGTGCATCCCTGTTGAGATATGCATCCCCAGTCGCGGGAGCGAGTCTCTCTTTGTACAACTGCATATCGACGAGGAAAACAGATTAAAATATGACCAATAGAGCTACTTGTTGTTACATTAATGATATAAAAACATTTAAACATACATCTCGTGGGGGAAAAATGTTATTTGGCAGATTCATTTACAAAAGTACGGGTGTTATGAACAACATTAAATCTTTGATTTATTTGTTGTAGTCTCTTGTTATTCACACACATCAATAAAAAGTGATAGCCGACGTGAGTTTGGAAACTGCAAAGCTTTGAAAATCAAACGTGCTTCTACACAGACCGGTGTGACGCATTCAACAGCGTCAGATAGCTATGGTGCATTCAGGAGCATGGGACATTTTCACACTTACAAAAGAGACATAAATGGAACAAAACTTAACTCATACAATAATGTATTTTATTCAGAAACAGTTTGGGCTTTCTTACAATACTGAATGCTCTATAATTGTATTTCTGTTATTTTTTGATTATGCACATCCTCTAGCTTTTTATTCTAAAAAATCTATAATATTACAAGCAGCAAATTATAAAAGTTTTTCAAAACTTGTTTAAAAGCTCCAAATGAGGCTTCAGATCATACAGCGACGATTACGCTGTCATTGTTTAACATATTCTCATTATCAGTGCGTATGAAATCGTACGAAAAGTTATGCACACTATTTCGTACGTTTTGGACGGTTTTCTTCAAAATACCTCATCAGTGCGCATGCAGAAAAAAAAAAGCTGATCCGCGGACGGACGTAAAATTGGGAAAATCAGTGCAATCAGCACTTATTCATGTCTCTAACTACGTTGCTTGCTGTTTTATACCTTAGGGTTAGGGTTAGGGTCAGGGTTAGGGCTAATTGTAATTTATGTTCTATATTCGTGAAAGGTGCGTCAAATGCGCATACGACGAAAAAACGTCCAAAACGTACGAAATTACGGTGCATAACTTTTTGCACGATTTCATACGCACTCATAATGAGAATAGGTTGCATTTTTTTACAGGGCAGAGTTTGGATTTGCTGTCCCTTGTCCTTTAACTATGGATATACTGTACAGGAACACAGTCATACAAGTGTCAACTCCTCTGAGTTAGCATGGGATGCCATTTTCGGCAAGGACCTAACAAAAAATGCATCCCGCTTGTTTTTAACTTAAAAAATGTCCCAAACACATGAAACTCGCACTGGTAGTTCAGATCAATCATCAGTTACAAGTTTATATTTCTGTAAAACAGCATAGGATGCAATTTTTTGACAAGTTCTATATATATATATTTTTTTTTCATTCAATGTATAACATGAATGCATAAACACCTAGTTTTATTTCAGTGTTCAATCCTGTTTAAAGTAACAGATCATTAATAATGTCTCCGGACCTAAACTGG